CATTTGATAGTTATCTTGAACAATATCGTGATCGAAAAGATGTTAATGAAGAAGTTATTAAACATTATTTAACAATGACATGTCCATTTAATGGTTATCCTAATGTATCGAAATATCCATTAGCAGCACCTAATGAAAAATGGGTACCTGATTGGTATAAATATGAATTACTTAAATATCATAAACGACAAGGAAAATGGAAGATGATGCCATTCTAGTCGGATATGAATTTTCTTGTTGTTTTTTTACATTTTTTTTTTGTTTTTTTTTTGTATAAATAAAAAGGAAAAATAAAAGCGTTAGGATAATAACAAATATATTGTTCAATAGGTTATCTCAAAGATCAGATTAATTGTTTTAATCATTAAAAAACATGCTCAGATAGAATTACTAAGAATCGTTTAAGAATATTACTTATAAAGACCATTATTTATTGATGTGTTTCTCATAAATATTTATCATTCAAAATCAATATTTAAGCATGATTCAACAAACAAGTAAAGATATACACGATCAATATATAAGTTTCTCGTTAATGTTCTAAACTAAAAGGAGAGAATTTAGAAATGATGATAATCAAACTTTGTCAGCTTTTCTCTTCTGTAACATGGTTCAAAACGGCTGAATAGTATGGCTTAAGTGACTGGTATTGACTAACAATTTTATGTTGTATGAAATTAAGCATGTGGTTTCTAAATTAATCAAGATTGATCAGTCATCACGAGCATATTATTATGATAAATCAAAGTCCTACTTGATGAACTATTATGATACATATTTTTGTTTAGTGCAAAGAGTGTTTATAGATTTAGGCAGCAACGAAAATTTTTTATCACTATTTGTACTATTGAAAGAAGCAAACAGAAATAGTATTATAGAGAAAAAAACTTTGAAGTTGCTTAAAACAACATTTATGTTTCATGTTAATTTTCGAAATTAATATCCATAATTGTCTGTGATACACTGACTATGTTATAGTTTTCATTTATCTACTACTTTTGTAAATGCACGTTAATAGACTATATGGGACTATATTTGTAAATTTATTCTGTCAATCTATAGAACCAAGTAGCTTATCACATTATTGACGTTACTTGCTAAATAAAAAATATAACTAAAACAGTTCTAAGAAAAGATCATGCATGATTAAGCGAAAACAATTTTCTGACTAAACATAAGAAAATCGTCGGCCGTACTACACTTTCCATTCTCTTTCTCTTTTTCTTAAGTTGTGTATAGGCAGTTTCATCGTATCATTTCTAGCTGTTCTTCGTTTAATCGAACATTGAATCATGACAAATAATTATCCACTTCTTCCTGATGAATTAAAATTAGTAAATATAATTGTTTCGATTTTTTGAAAATATCTAATTAGTTTGTTTTTTTTTCTCACTATTTTTCTAGTGGCAAAATCTTTACAATCAATCATTAACAATCGATGGAAAAGAATCAATTATTCAAACAGATGGAACAAAACAACTTGTTTTACTTCCAATGATGACATATACACTTCTATCAACAATGCTTCAAAAATTAAAATATCTTCCGAATAATTGTTTTAATCGAATTGTCATCGGTGGTTTGTATTTATTTTCACTTCTTTATATTTCATTCAGTTTTCGTTTTCTTTTACATGTATTTAAGAAACTCCAATCTGTGGTCTTCGACCATTGAGTCGTAAAAGTCCATCATTAATGTATAAACTTACAGAAATTTTACGTACTATTGTTGATGGTGTTCGTAAACAATATATTCTTCGTATAACAATGATCTTTTACAAAAAGAATGATATTAATACAGTAAAATAAATTTTATAAAAAGAAAAATGCTTTCTTTTCTTTTTCTTGTTTTCTATTTTGAATTTATTAAATTTAGATTTATGATTCATATTCACTTGTATTTGATTATACAATAAAATTATCTGAAAATGAATCAACAACATCTATACATATGATTGCTCATATCATTCATCAAATAGAATATATGTTTAATTGGAATGATACTTTTCCAAATGATGTTGAACTTACATTTGTTTTATCAGCACTTGATCAATGTACAACTTTATTTTTCTTTATACATAATCTAATTTGGTTTTTGTTTTTCTTTTTATAGTTGAAAATAAGGAAAATAAAGTTCCAACACCATTTCATTTTGTTAAACAAAGTATTAAAAAAGTTTATATGGAAAATGAAACAAATCATTTAATGGGTCGATTAACAACACCTGATGGAAAAATGTGGTTGAAATTTTTACCTAATGTATAAAAAAAAAAAAAAGCAACGAATTGATATTTTGAATTAAATTAGGATTTAAATTTTAGACTCGTCAATTATCTGGATCAAGTATTCATTCAGATGATTTGCCTACAAAAGCAAATCTGTTGACTAATAAACAAAAACTAATAGAAATTGAACATAATAACAAATCAAAATCTCCAATAGAGATGATACAACCAACTATAAGTAAGTATAATTATTATTTTGGTATTTAACTAAGATTTTTTTTTTAATTTCAATTTATCTATTCTTCTAGTTTTATCACCAAAATTAAAGAAGAGCACTAAAAAATTGACAACATCAATTGGTAAAATTTAATTTAATTTCTTAATATAAAAAATCTCTTTTTTTTTTTTATTAAATCAATTTAGATCCAAGTAAAAGTGGACATAATCTTCCATCATTAACATCATCAATATCAACAAAAAGTAAAAAGAAAATAGGTTTATTATCAACAGTTAGTAAGTTGATGATCTAAAAAAAAATAAAAATCAATCTTATTTTTTTCTTTGTTTCATCTTCAGAATCTTTAATTACACCATTACGTACACCGGCTCCTGTAATATCATCAACACCAAATGTTTCTGATTTAGTACTTATACGTCATACAAGTACACCTAAACCTGGTGAAACAGCATCTCGTATTATTCTAGGTGGTAACGATGAAGTACCACCTCTTTCAGCTATCTATGAAGTTTCAACACCTGATATTCGTCGACCTGCTAATGTAACTTCACCGACACCATCAACTATTACTGCGACTGATATTTCGACAGCAACTACACCGATGATTGCTATTGAACGTCGAAGTACAGGACGTACAGCAACTGTACGTGGTCAAACGGCAGCTACTCGAAAAAAGATTGCTTCTATGCAAATTCGAGATGATGAAGATGATGAAGAACAATTTATAAAACTTTTTAGTCGACAAAAATCGAAGAAATCAAAAAATACAGCAGTTGTTCCAATGAAAAAATCTGATGATTTATCTGATGTTTCAGTAAATTATCTTTTTAAATGTTATTTATTTAATTTTAATTTATTTAAAGACAATATCTTCAGCTACTTCGACTACTGAATCAATATTTACACCACCTACAGCACGTAAACGACCTACAACTGATCGAATGGGTAATGACGATGATGATGATCTTGCAGCTGGTATTCATTCTTGTCTTATTTTTGTTTCTTTTATTTTATTTTTATGATTTAGAACATAGTACACCACCAAAAACACCACGTAGATCACGTCGTAATCGAATTGAAGATCAAACATCTATTCAAGTAAATTTTTCTTTAATGATATTTCTAATACTATTCATTTATTTAATAGTCAACACTAATGGATACTAGTGATAGTCAAGTTAATATTGATTCACCTCGACTTCTTCGTAGTGTTACAAAAAAACTTCAACAACAAGCATCAGGTATTTATTATATTATATTGTATATTGAATATGTAAAATTCAAAATAAACTTTTTCTTTAGCTAAAAAGACATTAGCATATGAACAAGATACAATTATGTCTGATCAATCGGTAATTATTTACATTATTCTTTTTTTTTTCAAAGATTTAATGTTGCATTTTCTCTTTTAGAAAACACAAAATATAACAAAAGACGAAGATGAAACGGATTCTGTCTATGTTCAATTAGAACGATCATCAATAGCTCTACATTATTCCATGGGTAAACAAATAACATTAATATTATTTTTTTTGTTTTCAATAGAACTTTATTGTTTTTCTTTTTCTTGTTTTTTATAGAAGAATCCGATTGAAGAAATCAACCGATAACAATTCTTTAGTGTGTATTTTGTTTTCTTTTTGTGAACTGGTTACTTTTGTTTTTTTTTTATCCGAACAATGAAATTTTTTATATGCTTATCTAGACATGAACTTGTATATGGTTTTATTCAAATAATAAAATGAACAAGCATATTTTTTATATATGCATAAGAGAAAATTTGTTGGTTCACTGTTTTGAGTTCAAATACAAAGAAAATAATATATGAAAACTATTATATTCAAGATGTTGTGATGATTTAAAGACTATAGAGTCCCATAATCTTCGTTGAACCGTTGATACAAAGTTATGTGTTCCTATATGATCAATATCTTTTCGAAACTTCGATATGAAATTCCTTCTATTCCCAATTTGCTATGCAAAATGATAATTTTGAAGTGAGAACTCAATATTTTTGAGATAATGAAAACGAGGTTCAGCAGCAACAATGATTAAACCTAGTGTTACATGGCCACTTTTAGAAGCTTTCGTGATATTGAAGATCGACAATTGAAATTTAAAATGTATTCGTCAGTTTCGTATTTTAAACGAAATTTAAATTGATATGACTACGAATGAATACAATTGGTTTAATTTACTTTCTGGTTGATAAAAGTTGTTAAGTGTTGTTAAAGGGTCTCCAATGCTAGATAAGTCTTTTGTCTGTTTTGCCTTGATTAGACGTAAATCACGTCATATTTCTTTGTTTTTTAAGAAAGTTTAGTTTGTCATATGTTATTTCAGATCATTATGCATTGTTTTTACTTGAGAATAGGGAAATAATCGAAATAAATTCATTCAATTGTTCATAATCAAAGTATAAATTTCGAGGGAAGAGCTGTAACTTGTTCTTAAAACGATATCTTGGAGTGGCTATAAAAAATGAACTGATTTTGCAACTGTGTATAGATTGTAGCGATCTAATAATGAAACCAGAGAAGAATATCGTAGAGATTATTTTTCGTTTTTAAAACAAATTAATGACGATAGTTTCATTTAATTTTTGTTTGAGAATATGGTGACAACATTGATGTAATAAACATTTTTAGTATGCTATGCTAGAATTGATTGATTTTTCCTATAAGAAAAAAAAACAAATCTTGGCAACATTAACTATTTAAGAGTCATTGCACGAGAACGACGACCGATTCTAATAT